GCCCTCCCACCTTACCCCCCTCACCATACTTGGCAGCACTGTATCAGCAGTAAAGTCTTTCAAGTTCCTGGGCTCCACTATCTCCCAGGACCTGGAGTGGTCATCCAACATTGGTGTGAGCCTGACCTCCATGGAGGACCTGTACACCTCACGGGTCAAAAGGAGGGTGGAGAGGATCACTGCACACCCCTCACACCCTGGACACAATTTGTTTGAACTCCTCCCCTCTGGACGGCGTTACAGGTCACTGTGCACCAAGACAACCAGGCACAGGGACAGTTTCTTCCCCCAGGCCATCACTCTGATGAACACTTAACTCATGACAGTATGACTGGACAATGACCCTCAGTGCAATACCTGTAAATATACCTCGTATAGATTATAGAGACTTGTACAGGTTTCTATTTCTTAAGTACTCTGTTTTATCCCTATTTATCTCATTTCAATGAACATTCCTTTGTTTTTCTGCATTGTTTATTGTCTGTTTATACTGCTTATTCTGCATTGTTTGTTGCTGTCAATTCTGCTGTTAATACTGCTATTTTGTTATATTACACAGCCTTATGCTGGTTTACTGTTTGCACATTGAGAGGCGATGTACCTGAGTCAAATTTCTCGTGTGTCCGTCACACCTGGCCAATAAAGCAGATTCTGATTCTGAAGAAGATAAGTCAAGATTAAAAAGTACATTCTTACTGGTAGAGAGCATCCTCACTACTGGCATCACAGTCTGGTGTGGTAACACCACACAGACAGAGAAGAAGGCTCTTCAAAGGGTCATAAAGACTGCAAAGAGGATCACTGGGATTGAACTGCTATGGACACACTATACACACAGCGCTGCCGTAAAAGGGCAGAGAACATAATCAGAGATCCACGCCACCCAGCTCACACTCTGCTCAGACACAAAAACTACACCTACAACCTCAGGCAGGGCAGACAGTATCATCACACACAGAACTAGACTTTACAACAGCTTTTTCCCTGCCTCAGTAAGACTGATGGCAAATATGAAAATGTGAGAATATATGTCCAATAACTCCTTACTAGACATGCGCAATAATAATACAGAAATGTTCCACAAGGTATTTTTGTAAGAGCATCTCATCAACAATATTCTCTTGTTGGACCTGAATAATAGCAGGCAATGGAAACAGGCCTGAATATAAACTGTGTTTTAGTACGTTATAACCCCTCACTACCTCAACAAGCTAATGACATATCCAACTCCACCATGTGAATCACTAAGTGCGATGTTTGAACTTCAATGGGGAAAATACTATTACCCTATTTTTATGTCTTGCGGTTTTAATGCTTGGTCACCTTTATGTAACTTTTTTATTTTAAGACTAACTGTTACGTTTCGCGTCACTCTGCTTCCTGGATTTCAGTTTCTGTTTACTTGTTCCCTCCCCACAACTCTGTCGCCGTCATCAGGCACCATGTCATTCACCTGCTACTCATTTCCTCCTGGTTCTGTTCCCCGCTGTTCCATCACAATTAGCCATCATTTCACCCACCTGCTGCTCGTTGTCTCCCGGTCCCTTTACACATACGGTATATACGCCCTGTTCTTCCGCCGCTCTTTGCTCAAACTGCTAGCGCTACCCTCTGCCAGTGCCACACATCCCACCGCTCTGGTCTCCTGCTCGTCCCTCCCTCCGGGTCCTTCTGGTCTCCTCCTCGTGGTTCCTCCCTGGTTGTCTCCTCCTCATCTCGTGGTTCCTCCTGCACTCCCTGCCTACCTTTGTCTTCCGGTCGTCCAGCATTACTTGTGTTTTATTTAATAAACTGCTTTCTTCAGTTCATCCTCTCTAGTCTGTGTCTGCAACTGGGGTCCACACCACACTCAAACATAACACTAAGTGTTCCTTCTGGCCTTTGACTCCTTACCTTACTCCAAAGGAGAGCTGCAGAAGAATCCCTATATGCCTAGACTGTCCATTTATGCATAAATGGCAAATAAAAAATCTTGACTTCATTTGTGCTGGACGTGTCATTTACAGAATGTAAATTCAATTAGGACCCGCTAAAAACTGCTGAAACTGAATAAGCAATGTACAAAAATGAGCAGTGAAGGTGCTATAACATTGAGATTCTCCAAGGCTGTGGGAGGTCAGTGATATTACCTTTAGTTAAAAGGAGCAAACAAAACATTATACAATGGGTTTAATTGTGAACTGAGGTGTTGTGTATTGAGCGACTGAATCTCTTTTAATGAAGCAGTGAGCTCCGCTGATGATTATGCAGAATCATTTTACTGACTCGATTCTCGTGTTCCTCCCGGTTTATGTTCAATAATCATGATGCAATACATGTACAAACTTGATAGTTTAATTCATTCAAAGATCTTTACCTGAAAGCTCTTCATTTGTTGACATTAATTCAGCCTGCCTAATTCTTTTATTTTTCTGTTGCTGTTCCTCCTCTTCTTTTCTTCTCAGCAATCTATCATACTGAATTACAACATCAAGGTGCTTTCACTCCTTGCGGGCTGGGATTATGCACAGATGAAAAAGCAAGATATTCAGTACAACAGCCATGCAGAACGTTAAAGCAAACCATTAATTCAAACTCTGCAAATCTGCCAAACCATCCATTATGTAAGGGCCATATCAAACAGTGATTATACAAAAAAAGAGCCAACTACAAAAACAAATATTAAGCTATAGCTACTAAACATACATGAGCAGCAGAGCTAGAAGAACAAAAATTCTTATTACCTGTCATGATTCTGTCCCAGGCTTTTATTTTGAGATTACTTCCTGTTTGGTTCACCTCAGTTTTGGACTTGTTACATTTATCAGCTGGTATTGTTTTCACCTGTATCTCATCACCCAGATTGGCAACACCTGCATACATATAGAGGTCACTGAAACAAAGAACCTGCTTACATGCTGTAACCCTTTTTGTGTTTTTAGTTCATTTTTCCCTGAAGTACTCAGCTCTGTAGTTGACTCTTGAGGGAGTGGCTTTGAGGGGGGCCTCTCACCTCTCGAAACACTATAGGTAGCTTCATTTGGGGAAAATGGGACATTGATTTAGGTTGACACGATTTTGGTCATGTCGAAAGGGGGAATTGTTAGGTATTTTTAGTCAAATAGATATTGGTTAGATACTTATATGTATTAGAAATGTTTAGTGTAGACAGGATGTCTAGTTAGACTGTTAAATGCTTAGTCATTCTTAAGGGTACTGCAGGTTGCTTATGGTCAAGGATAACTAGATAGAAAGTTGATTACTGTTAGAAGACAGGATGTTTAATATTATTATTATGACGTGTATACCTGTAGCCTTAGCCATAATATTTTCTTATGTTTAATGTCATGACATGTCATTAGAGGTCGTGTTAGAATGTTTTTAGCTACACACCACTTAATCAACAGACAATCGCACATTGATTTTCTTCATGTTTTGACTACTGCTATGACCAGCTGCAAAGCACCGGGAGCCGTCACGGTTTGGCGTCTTTCTCTGTAGAATGGGTTTAGCCCGAAGTGATATAATGTATAGGCCTGTTGTGGTTCGGGGTCTTTCATCTTTCAGCTTCCAGAGGCTACAGATTGACGACGACGACGACGATGATGATGACCCCCTGTTGGAGTAGAACACATTGATTTTTCCTCATGTTTTGGCTACTGCTCTGGCCAGCTGCAAAGCTGTCCCTGGGAGACGCTGCGACTTGGCGTCTCCTGTTAGCATGGGATTAGCCCAAGGCGATATAATGTTTAGGCCTGTTGGGTTCAGGGTCTTTCATCTTTCAGCTGCCTGTGTGCATGTTGGAGGTGCAAGATACCTGAGCGTGTAATGTTAATTTTTACCTGTGTTCATTGAATAAATCAGCACTGTTTTGAAGTTACTTGGACTGCTTCGTCTCTCAGAGTTAGCGTTGTGAAAAGTACCGGGTCCCAACACAATATAATTGAGTTCACTACAAGCACCATTTGGCAGCTTCACCTGCCAATTACTGATTATATGAACAATAAGAAATTTTAGTTTAACATTCTGGGAGAAGACTTGATCCCTTTCTTTCAGAGTAAAATGAGAAAATTGATTAAAAAGAAGCCAAAGGGCACCTCTGATGCATGGTAAGAGAGTAAGACATTTTGGGAAATACACTTAATGTGCTCTTACTGAGATTTAGATGAGAAGATCAATACCACTCCCACATCTGTTAATTACAGCAGCTGGTGAGCTTTAGAGGGGCTGGTAGGTTTCTTTAGTTATCTTTAAAATAAACTAGGCTGGTTGTTTCCCTCATTACCAATTTGTGCTATAAGCTAAGTGTGACCCATGCCATGACTCCAGTTTAATATCTACCAGACAGCCATAGCAGAATCAATCTTTTCCAGTAAGGATTTTTACCAACATCTCAAACATTTCATTTGCTTTATGGCAGTAAAGACATCTGAGTAAATATTTTTGTTAATATCTTTGGAAATCAGCCTGCCACTGTCCCTGTCCCTGTCAATCTGAGCTCAAACATTTGCCATCATTGTGAAAAGACAAACTGACCTGCTTCTTGACTTATTGATAAACAAAAATCAATGAGGACAGTCCTGACGGCAACAAGAAAAGGCTATACTTTGTAAAGACATGTAAAAGCTTGAATGGGCAACAGAAATTTCAAGGGCAATCATTGTTTTCTCAGAAAGTAGCCATTTCTTTTTAAAATTTGTCTAAGGTATTGTACTGGAATATAGCCTAATGTTTGTGCTCTTATTAACCAGACATGGTAGGAATCAAGCTAAAAGCTCACAGAATCATGACAGGCAACCTAATAGATGCAGCTGCGGGATGTGAATAACAAATTGATAGGCCCTCTGGCTCTGTTGGGCTCCTGCCAAATCAATACATCTCCATCAGCTACAGCTAAAACCTACTTAGCTAAGCATATTGAAAGGAAATGATGGATAATGTCATGATGATGATGAGAAACTTGCCTACAGGCATAATTATGCCTTGGAGAGTGTGATTTGGAGAGTTTGTTTCACACTAACAGACTACAAGTATGTTGTTTGTTTGTTTTGACAGTGACCATTTTCCTCAAAAGATGAAGCAATAGTTAGTGGCAAACTGAAAAATCAATACCAATCTCATACATGCATGGGTAGTGAAGTGCTACACCACTATACTACTTCAGAAAGACTGCCAGTACACTGAGCTAATACATGCAGTGCTAGTATACGTATATTAGCTCCTGCACCAGCACTTGGCTGACATGTGGCTCAAAGAAGATCAAGAAATATCAGGGTAAATATAAAAATGTGAAAAGCTGTAGAAAGTGTGAATTAAAGTTGCTGTTAAGTGCAGACAGTATTAATTGCTGTTTTCCACATTTTATTTTGAAAAATATATTTCATCCTTAGACTGGCAGGCTGTGCAGGGTGCACCCCGCCTGTCACCTACTGTCAGTTGGTATCAGCTCCTGCAGTTTCCTGTGATGTACTGCAGGACAATAGCTGTATAGCAAAAGGATGGATGGATATTTCATCCTTAATGTTATTACTACCACTCTTAAAAATGTCTGGCAATAAGGCCTGGTTCACATTGCTAAATCACTGACAAAAGATAGTCCTCATAACAAAATCTGTCATTGCGCCGCTTCCACATCCATGGACATATTGCAAACAGGAGCTGCAATGCTAAAAGTTAATTTGACATGTTTTTAATGTAAATAAATAAAGACTGAAAAACAGGCTTCAAGTTGTAGCTTACAGCTAAATATTTGACTCCATGGCAACATTATAGAGGTGGAAGAAGTGCTCAGATCCTTTACTTACTGTAGGTACAGTTGGCTAAAATTAATACTAATAATTTTAATAATTATAATAATTATTATTGCTTTTTTGAAAACGGTCACAAGCAAAAGTGCTTGGAAACCACAGGCCTGCTCATTAGCCAAACTGTGATTAGGACCAAACCTTAACCATGCCAGAGGCAGGGGGAAATCAGAAAGCAGTCATAGAAAACACTGGCAGACTATGTCATCTTAAGGATGTCTGATTAGAAAATGCTGAGATGACTTTGAAAGAACTCATGACTAGCACTTACAGTATTACTTCTGTAAGATCCACACCCACTGCTAACTTCTCATACTACTGAATCAATGGCCCTATTAGACTTTCAGCCTCAGATGAGTGACCAGTGTGCTCTGTGATAGTGATACATGAGGTGGTGTCACACAGTATACGAATGGCCTGTCCTGTGGGTGGGAACTGATGAGAACATTATGCAGGCAGATATATGAGGACCAGGGGAACTTCAGACAGATTTTCAGTGAGAGTCTGAGAGCTAAGGATTGCAGTGAGGTGCAGTGACTGATCATCAGCCATGATGGCACGCAACTGTGAAGAGATGAGGAGTAACACCAATCACGTGTCTGGCTGCATTAGTCTCCTGCCTCTCCTCTCCCTCCAGAGTCAGACTACTTCATAACAGTTTGTCTCTGTCTGGATTCTCAGGCTGCACCGGCTGCACACTTCAGATACAATCAGACAATGAGGAATTCCCCATAGATGTAAATTCTATGTTCACCTAATTGAATAGGAATTATTTACTTCTTCAGGATTGCATTTGGGATGAAGAGATTACATATCTTTTATGCTCAGGGGTTTTCTTTGAATTTATTTCTTCAAGAAAGCAATTAAAAGAAGATGATAGTGATTAGCACTGAAGTATTTTGGCCAGTGAAGCCTGACTGAGAGTCATTTTCAGGCTTTTGTGTAAATGCAATTACTAGTCAGTAAAACTATGTTTCAGTTCTTGTCTTTATACCCAGCACTGCCTACATTTACTACTGTTGTTATAAAATTGTATATCATCTATTAATGTTGGGGAATGTTTGTGTCACATAAATATGCAGGTATATGTTTTCTAAACAGGTCTTATCAAGGTATAAAATGATGTGCAAAAGCATATGGATGAACATATAGTGTAGTATTTCATCTACGGATGACTCATTCTAAAACAATGATTATTAATCTACTACTGTAACAGCCACAACATCATTAGTGAGGTCCAACACCGATGTCGGATGATAAGTACTGCCTCACAGTCTGTGCTCCAGGTCATCCCAAAAGTGTTAGATGGGTTTGGGGTCAGTGCTCTGTGCTTCCACAGAAACCCAAGGAAACCAGTTTATGGACCTCACTGTAAGCTCCAGCATTAATTTGAGAAAGGACCAGGCCTAACACCAATAAAGAAGCAGCTTCTGTGCATCTGCAAAACATACCATTAATGAGGTGTTTTGAGGGCTTTCATATTGAGGAGCCCAGTAAAATCACATTAATCAGTGTAACAAAGCGTGGGCATTTTTCTTAGGAGCTAATTTGCTAAAAGGTAATTGGTAAACCTGAGAGCCTCTTTCTTTTAATGCCAGAGTGCTCCTAAATGGTGATTCTTTTTCTTATTTTTACATAAAACACTGTGCTCATAATAAAGCTAAGATCTAATGGTGAAGATACAATACACAGACTCCAGACAGATGAACACATAAAGAGTAGGTGCAGCAACAAATGCTATAAGACCTAAGTTCAATATGTTATTTGATTAAGTTCAAACTTTATATTTCTGTGGTATTAGTCACATCTGGACCAGTTCATTACAAACGTACATAATGTACTGTGTAAATGTCTTAGGCCGCCATTAGATTTGTTGTTTCAGCAATGTTATGATGACTGTATATTTATTTCTCAAAATACAACTAGAAAATACAGGAATATGAGCACAATATTAAAAAACACAAAAATCAG